AAGAGGAGCTACGGCCAGGGGACTGGAGAATACCTTACTTGAAGCATTTTAATTGAAACCTAGAGAGAGAGTTACATTGTAGAACCATGCTCAAAAACGTATGGAATTGTCCACTATGTTGTACACCTGAAACTAATATAACACTGTGTGCGTCAACTACACTTCAAGTAAAGAGGAAAAAAAATACAGGTAATTTCTATTCTCCTTTGTGTTTCTCTGTATTTTCTCGCTTTTCTACAATGAGCATGTAGACTCTGGCACTAAAGTTAAATAGATGCAAAGTTTCTAATCTTGAAGCAACAGTTACCAGTTAATCGGGATCAAAGACTCAAAGTAGCCTATCTTTAAGCCTCCTTGAGTCACTGAGTAACAAATCCTCCCGTACTTGGCATGGCAGAGGTGGCCGCAAGGTTCCCCAAAGCTCAGCGGTAACCTCTCCATTCTGGGGCTTTGGTAACCTGAGGGGGGCGGGGGGGTGACAGAGTTCTTCCATACAAACTTGGGCAAGTGCTTCTGCAACAGCAAAACTCACTTCCAGGTCTCCCATGACCCCGTCCCCCACGGCACACCCAAGTCCGGAGGACCCCGGAGGGACCCTCCACCGCCTGAAAACTTGGCCCCCCCAAACCGTGCTGCATGGCTCACCTCCACTCTCCTTCACCTACATTTCCCCTACTACTCCGCGACCCTTTCTCCTCGCCCCACACACGCAAGGGCCACAGGGGAAAGAAAAGAGCGGGGCGGGCTAAGGACAGCCTCCCAGGATTCCCGTGACCTTGGACCAGCCGCTTCGCCTCTCAGAGCCTCAGTTTCCCAATCTGCCACCCTCGCAGGGGAACCGCAGGCTCAGAAACCGGGGGGCTTTGCAAAAGCGACAGAGGGTTCTAACTCCGCACCGCCCCCCCTCCTCCCCTCGACCGTTCCAAGGCTCCGGGCACCAGCCTGGACGCCTCCGGGCAGCTTCCCACTGGAGCCCTGCTCCGATGCCCCCGGGACGGGTCGCCTCCCAGCACTATCCTCGTACCTGGCAGTTGCTGTCCTGGGGCAGGTTTTTCACCAGGATTTTCCTGCGGTTGCTCAGCTCCCGGTGCATCCGCTGCAGCCGCGCGGCGACCTCTTCGGGATGCAGCGCGCTGGGCGCGGGGCCCCGGGCGTCCTCGCTCGCGCCGCCGGAGGGGCCCCGCCCGCGCGGCCCCGACCCCGACCCCGGCCCCGCCGCGCCGCCCAGGCCAGCGCCCCCCTCGCCGCAGCCACCTCCCGCCGCAGCCGCCATCTTCCCCGGCGCCCCGCTGCGGGCTCCTCCGGAGGCTCGAGGGGAAGCGGAGAGAGAAAGCGGGAGGAGGCCCGGGCGGGGGCGAGGCGGGCAGAGGCCGCAGAATGGGCCCGGCCGTAGGGGGGGAGGGAGGCGGCGCCGCAGCCAGCAGCCAGCGGGCGGGAGAGGAAACCTGAGCGCCGAGGAGGAGCCCGAGAACCACCTCGCGGGAACCTCCCTCTCGGGCCCCGGCCCCCGCGCACGGGCGGCGCCCATGCCTGCCGCCCGCCCCGCGGGTGGGGGCCGGGGCGCCTCCACCCGGACACCTGTGCGGCCGCGGGCCGGTCGGCTCCCCTCCCCGCAAGGCCTTAGACGAACGCCCAGGCCTGGGCTCCGGGGATGCGGCCCCTTGGCGGCAGCTTCCCGGGAGGGGGGACCCTGAACCCCAGGCGCCTGTCCCCGCGCGGCCCCCCACGTGACACCCAGCTGTCCCCGGGCTCTCCTCGAAACTCCCGCGCTGGGGCGGCTCGGGGGCTGCCGACGCCAATTCGGGCTCCCCTAAACCCGGGGAGGTTCCCTGCGGGCTCCGGACCTTAACCTTCTGTGCTCAAGATGTGCATATTTGGCAAAGAAGTTTGAGTTTACAATGAAAAATAAAGTTTGAGATTTTCTAGGGAGTACAAAGGTATTCTGGAGGAAATTTTATATATTTGGAAAAATCTGATGGCAAAATATTTTCCTTGCTGTGTACTAGAAAGCCTGTGCTCTTCACCCGTCCCTGTCGTAAATTTACTAAAATGTAATGGTTGCATGTGCAACATTATATAAAGCGATGCTGAAGCAAAGACTAACATGGAAGAGGAGCTACGGCCAGGGGACTGGAGAATACCTTACTTGAAGCATTTTAATTGAAACCTAGAGAGAGAGTTACATTGTAGAACCATGCTCAAAGTGATGTTATCAGATCAAACCGTGAGCAACCTTTGGCGTCAGCCCAGATGACTATCAGAGAGGGCTAAGCATCTTAAGTGTGTAGCATGCAAACACACATATATGCACACACACCACACACACACACATATATGCACTCTCACACACACAAGCACTAGAATACAGAAATAGTAAAATAAGGTTTCTGTGTGATAGGGATTCAGTCTCATTGGGAGAAAATCATATGATAATTATAATTAAATGTGATAAACAGGCAAACAAACTTCAGGAGTAGCCCTAGAAAATAGTGCTCTGAGTCTAAGTTTAGTGATGTTGCTTTTGCTAAAAATATTTTTCAAACTGCTTTTTTGATATTAACTTCAGAATCTATGGCAAATTTTTTGGCATAGTTTCTGTGGTAGTGAATATGCATCTCTCAGATGGGTTTGACTTTGGAAGTAATTAAATGTTATTTGAGCCAAGTCTGGTAAATGAATCAGATGTTGATTATGCTTTTGGAATTATGATTATGTAATTAGGGTTTGGGGCCCCAAGAGGGGCGTGATTACAATGTTATCAAGTTATTAAAGCAATTTTATTAAGTGGGTACTTGGATGTGATCCCACTGCTGGAACAATATTGCTGTGTCCTATAGGGTGGTGGCTTTCAAATGACTTCCCAGTCCAGTGAGAGATGTACACCATAGTGGGAAATACATTCTACATCACAACCCAGTAAACCCACACACATATAGCTGTAACAAAGATTTTACGAAACAACATATTCTTAACTGATGCAGCACATTCTAGTGTTTTCTACTCTATTCCCTTTTTTAAAAAAATTGCTGGGTTGATACACTAATGAGTCATTACTCACATTTTGATAAACATCGCTCTAGTTTGCTAATCAATGATTTTCCTCATTACTCTTGCTGCGCGGTTTCCAAGGAATTCAGGGAAACAGTAGAACTTACTGATTTTAAATTACTTAACTGAATTGATTATTATTGCCACATGAGAGAAATGGATGGAAACTGCAAAGACTTGGACATGTTACTATAATTCCAAAGAACTCCTCTCATTCTAGGTTTTAGCCTGACTCTTTAAATAGCAGCTCCCATGGCAAATTAGAGGAACATTCTAATCTGAACCTGAAGTGGCGTACAATTACCAAGCTGCAACGTATTTACCAATAACCACAGGTAATTATCATGATCTGTATAATTACCTTGTTCTTAAAACATGAGCAGCACTCACTTGTGCCTTTTATTTTTTAAAAATTTTGGTGGTTGTTTTTATGTATTTTTAAAGCTCTGCAATTGGGGAAAAATGTTGGAGAAGTTTAATAAGTCCCAGTTGATAATAATAGAGCCTCTTGTATCCAAACAATCTTATGCTTGTATATTATGCGAATGTGATGAAAACAGGTTAAGCATGTGAAAAGTCCTGTCAACTCTCAGAATCTTTTAAGTATCTTTATTCATTCAGTGATGTATAGTAATTGCCTGCAATGTACCAGGTACTGTACAACACACACCAAATTTGATTGATTTTTATTTGGAAATGGTCTTTTCCCTGAGGAAAATAATTGCAATTCAGTAACTGCAGATTTGGCATGATTAAGTACTATGAATAAAGTACTCTTAATAGCACAGGGGAGTGTTTGATATTGATGTAGGGGAAGGTATCGTGAGGAACTGAGTCTTGAAGACAAGCAGGAGTTTTCTAGATGACAAAGGGTAAATACTAAAACAGGAAACAGAAAAAGACCCAAAAGCATCAAAGGGACTGGCATGTCCATGAAATAATAAGTTTGGTGTTAAACTTATTAACTTTTGAGAGATTAGCAGAAAAATAAATGAGAAAGATGGCCAGTGCCATTCCATTTTAAGAAGTTGGTTCCACTTTAAGTCAGTGCTTTAGTATGGCACAAAAGGCAAACTCATAGAGAAAAGCAATATTAGAGGCTTTTAGCAAATGACATGATCAGATATAGCTTTACAAAAAATAATTCTGACGACAACTGAGAGAATGATCTCAGCAGGTCTTATGTTAGGGAGACCAGTTAGAAATCTTTTGATATGCAGTAAAAACATTTGAGGGCTTATACTGAAGCAGAATACTTCAGTAACACAGGTATTAAGTGTCATGTAACCTATTGTGTATTAAGGGTATAGAGCTTTAAGTAGGTCACCTATGCTTTTATTCTTTATTTTTTCTTTATATTATTTAATTTTAACCCCTATAATCAACGTGTAATGTAGCTAGTACCTACTTCTTTAACCAATGAGAAATCAAAGGCAGAGAAGGTAACCTGTTCAAAGTCACAGAGCAGGCAGGGGCCCCAGGATTCCTACGCAAATCCATCGGGTTTTGGAGCTCAGGTATGCGAACTTGTGTAACTGTAGCTGAAGGAGGGGCTAGATTTGTGAGACTTGAGAGAAACACAGTAGAAGCAGAACATAGTGATGGAGAAAGCAGGATCTGGAGTTAAAATACCTGGATCCAATTCTGTGTAACGGGAGCAAGCTATTTAAAACATAAGAGAATAATTCAGATATGCCAAGCCTCAGACTTTTCATCTCTAGACAGAGATAATAACAGTACCCACAGGCTATTATTAAAGGCTATTATGAGGATTAGATGAGGTACTGTATAGAAAGGGCTTAGGAGACTGCTTAGCTCAAGGGCTAGATAAAAAGGCAGCCACAGTAGTGGGAGTAGAAGTAAGAGTAGTAGTAAGTTCTCATTAATTATTTTTAGAAGTCTTGGCAACTTACTGGATGTCAGCAAAGAGAAAGAAGCGAAGAACGGCATCGTGGTTTCTAATATGAGAGACTGGATGGGGGTGATGCCACGAACAAAGGAGGGAACAGTTTAAGAAGATATGAAGCTCAAGGTAGGCATCTGAGCTTCAAATACTGCAGGACATCTAGATACATATGCCCATATACTGTAAGAAAACCAGGTAGTTAAAATGAGATTGCATGAGACCATCCAGGCTGAGTGTGTATTGAAAAAGAAGTCCAAGAAATAGGACTTTAGGGAACAACATTTAAAAGCCCGAAAGGAAAGAAAGTGGATGGTAACTTGGCAGTGCTGTTAGACGCCGCCTGTAAAAATAGCACCAGGTAAAAATGAAAAGGATGTCCAGCAAACATAGTTATATCACATCAGGTATTTCTCCCTGTTTTCTTATCTCCAGTTACCTTAGTGGTGATCTCTAGCTCCTGATTCTTGGCTCCAGCTCTCTGTGACAGCCTCTGGCACCTCCCCTCCTTGGCTTCTGTGTCTTCACAGTATTGGTCTTGGTTGCTTTTGTGGCTTGCTTCTTGAGTCATGAGCTGAACCGACTCACCGCTGCTTTTTGCTACTGACCTTGCATTCCATGATATGCCAGCTATAAAAGAAACCCGAAATCAGAAAGGAAAAAAAAAAAAAAAGACTGGAAGTGAACTAGAAAGTGTGGCTTCAGAGAAGCCAAGAAAGCAAAATGTTTCAAGAAGGAGAATAGTCAACGTGTAAATGCAGCAGAGAGGGCAAATAGAATGAGAACTGAAGTGGAGGTAACTGGATTTGGCAGCTAGGAAGCTGCTGGTGTCTTCGAATAGGAACAACTCCCCCTAAAGAGGGGCGCCTGGGTGGCTCAGTCGTTAAGCGTCTGCCTTCGGCTCAGGTCATGATCCCAGGGTCCTGGGATCGAGCCCCGTGCTCAGCGGGGAGTCTGCTTCTCCCTCTCCCTCTCCCTCTGCCCCTACTTGTGCTCTCACTCTCTCTCAAATAAATAAATAAAATTAAAAAAAGAAAGAAAGTGGTAAAGGGACTAGAGTCTAATCTATGAAAAAGAACTGGTGAGATTAACTTTGTACCCTCTAATGTTCTCCATGAAGCAGAAAGAAGATCATCCTCTGATAGTGAGGAGATTTGGCAGGAAAACAGAAATTGTATCCACATAGGTGATTTACATGTATAGAATTCTCATGACCACCCTTGCAGTTGGTATTATTACCCCCATGTTATGTGTTAGCAGCTGACATAATGCAGTGAAGTCATGCAGCTAGTGTGAGCAATTTTAGAACTCAAACCCAGGTC